CACATGGGATGCCAGAACTGCAGGCGGCAGGTTTACCTGTTACACTACAGTCCTAGTCCTTCTCTTTTAATTTTAACAATGATCTATTTTCAGTTTACTTTAAGATTTTAAGATTAACCATACAATAACTAAAGAGTTCAGCAAATAGAAGAAAAAACAGTCTTCCTCAACAGTAGAGATAAGGGCTGTAAAAAAAAAAAAATCTCAAAGTGTCATTTTCATATCTGTACATTATATTTTTGGTACTCTATTTGTCCTTGAAGTGTCTTTCTTTTTTTTCTCTCTTTCTTTCCTTCGTTCTTTCTTTCTTGATTTACTTGTTTGAAAGAAAGAGTGACAGAATTAGTAGGAGAGACAGACACAAAGAAAGCAAGAGAGATCCCCTCCCACTGGTTTACTTCCCAAATGACCACAACATCTGGACCAGGCTAGGCTGAAGCCGGGAGCCAGGAGCTCCATCTGGTTCTCCCGTGTGGTGGGGAGGACCCAATCATGAGCGCCCTCATCTGCTGCCTCTGTTGGGCATCAGAAGGAAGCTGCACAGGAATTGCCAAATAGCTGGAACTTGAACCACACTCTGATATGGAATGCAGTCATTTCAAGAACTGGTCTAGCCCATTGTGTGACAAAACCTGCCCTGTCTTATTTTTCTAAGTTCTTATTAAGAATGAGTGTGCATACGTATGTGTGACAGTGCAACGATACGTGTATATACTATGTACTGATCAAATCAGAGTAATCAACATTCCTCCTTCTTTGGCATTATTTTTTATTGAAGCCTTAGATTGCCTTTCTTCTGTTGGCTCATAAAATATGTAATAGGTAATTGTTGATGATCGCTACCCCACTATGCTGTGTAACACATGGATTTTATTCCTTCGATCTGACTCTAATATGGTTTCCCCTTATCCAGATTCATTTAATTTTCCCTACATTTTTCAGGTGACAAAGCCTAAGAGACATACAAGACACTATTAAGTGAACAACACTGGCATTATGGGCACACCTCAAGGACTGAAGGAGAGGGGCATTGAGGATCTGTTAATTGAAGTAATAGCTGAAAACTTCCTAAGCCTTGAAACTGGTATGGACATCCAGATATAGAAAAGTTCAAAGGACTCCATCCAGCCCAAAAGACCTTCTCTGATGGATATTTTAATGTGTCTTCTGGCATGTGTAAAGATGTGGGACCATAAGGAATGGGCTGCGTGGTGTGTCAGGACTAGCCATGCCTGTGTCTCACAGTGTTGTCTAGTTCCTCAGTTATTCATTTCATTTGTCCTCTTGGACAAGGATGCCAAATACACTCTTAACGCTCTCCATTTCAGCATTTTGCTCATGAATCTGGAGAATTAAAAAGAAATAATAAATAGACTTGTACTGGATCAGGGGGTCCTAAGACCAAATGTTATGTGCTGGTCCCTTGATCCCCAGGACTGATCACTTGAGGTTTATAAAACATGTAAATAGCAAATGTGTGACAATAATAAAGTTCTCGGAGTTAACAGATGTGTATGATTATGAGGTTCTTCTACTATGTGTGGACTGGTTTAACAGTCTTGAAGTTAGACTGCAGGAAATTGAAGATGTATACTAGTAAACAACCAAAACGGTTATACCTAATACCACACTAGCAAGAGAACAAAATGGTTATACCTAATATAACAAAAAAACAGCTAAAAATTAAATCATAAAAATTCAATAGAAAATAAGAGAAATAGGAAAAAGAGAATAAATAAAAGATTGGACAAGTAGAAAATAAATAGCAAGATATTAGAATGTGGGAGACTTGATCACACTATTGACCAAATGAATCTAATTGATCCTTGTAAACTATTCTACCCAACAACAGAACACTACCCTTTATTTTCAGAGGCACATAGAATATTTATGTAGACCATATATTAGACAACAAAAATCTCTGTAAATGTAAAATAATTCAAACAATATAAAATGTACTCTGACAACAATGAAATTAAGTTAGAAATCAAGAGCAGAAACATCTGAAAAATACCTCAAATATTTGGAAATTAATGCACATGCTTCTCAATAAACTGTGGGTCAAAGAAGAAACCAAAAGGCAAATTAGAGAAATTTATTTCAAGATAAATTTATTTCTAATCTGTCTAAAATTGTGAGCCATTTATGATTATAAAGCAATACAAGGGTGAGTATGCAACTCTCTCTAAAATCTCAGATGTGAGATGTAATGGTAAATTGAGAGTTGCTTTATAATGGGAAAATAACAGGAATAGTAGAGAACTGGGGCCACCATTACAATAGTCTCACAGTTTCTTTTTAATGGCATATGTGGTTAGATGTCAGTGTTACACTATTTCAAATGGACCTAGCATCACCACTCAGGGTGACTTTGGTTGCGTCTTGTTCAGTCAAATGAAGGCCAGTTTTGCTTCCAGCACATGTTTCAGAAAGCACACCTTAGAAACAGCAGCTCTGTCCCTCTCTCACATCATTGAGGGGAAAGATAAGATTAGTGCCTCATTCGAGCAGGAGGCACTAGGAGCAAATGTCAGCTGGGAAGCCTGCTGTGTGGAGCAGTGCGTCCAGGGACCCAGAGGTCTTTGAGAAAAGCTGGCAACTTTCTGCTGTGGACCCTGCAGTTTCTTCCAGAATTGAACAGCTGGCTCCCCGGAGGGTCTTGCTGTAGTCCAATGGGTAGTTATTAGCCACGCTGAGCTATTTAACTTTAAATTTGTTAAAACAAAATAAAATTAAAATTTCTTCTCTGCAGTCACACTGTCACATTTAAAGTTCTCAACAGCTACATGTCACTGATGGCTACCATACTGGCCAGCACAGAACAACCCCACCTCTGCCGGAATTTCTGTTAGTGCTGCTGCATAGTGAGGTGGGCGGGTCCCTAGCATGAGCAAATTTGAACAGTTCCTCCCTTCACTTCCTTTCTCCTCCTCCTTCTCAGCATCCTGGTTTAGCAGTGCCTGTAAAATCAGAGAAGGGCTCAGGACACAGATTTTGCAGGAAAGGGGCGGGGGTGTGCTTGTGTGTTGTGGCACGTGTTCAGTTTGGTGGGAAAGGGTTCTCTCCACAGAATCTGTATTAAACCTCCCAGGGAACTTTCTGGCAGAATATATTTCTTATTGGTTCCTGTTTCCTGTCTTTGCTGACTTTAGGTTGTTATCTATTTTGAATGCTGAGCTCTACATGTTAATGTCTCTTTCATGGGATTCTGCTCAGGGAATATTTGCTTTTTAAAGAAATGAATCTTCTTCACTGCTTCATAACTTACCCTCTCTGTAGTTGGGTGAGTATAAGCTCAGGGGAACTGGTGGGAAGATGAGCACTGAGATGAGTAAAGAGCAGAGAGAAACAGGCAGCCCTCTCCTTCCCCGCCAAATCCTGGTCAGGAAGGGAGGTGCTGTGGCCCGAGTTCTTGTTTCTGGTTAATTATGCACTCCTAGGGGAACTGCCTTCTCAGGGGTATCTCTTCCTGGTCTCAGGGTATATAGCCCCTTGAGGGTAGGTCAAGGAAGACGCTGCAATACAGGAGAGTTCTGGGACCAGGAGCTGCTTGTTCTAGAGACAGAAGGAAAAGAATTCAGCCACTTGAGATCAGCATCTGCAGTGCAGGCTCCTGCTTTTGTGTCTCAGTTAAGCTCTACAGAGCAGCATTATAAAATCCCATGTGCTGAAACGAGGAATTTTTTTAATTTTTATTTAACGAATGCATTTTTACATAGATACAGCTTTAGGAATATAGTAGTTCTTTCCCCCATACTCTCATCCCACCTCCCATTCCCTCCCCCATCTCCTTCTTCATTATGGTTCATTTTTATTATGACTTTATATATAGAGGAGTAACTCTATGCTAATCATAGACTTCAACTATTTGTCCCGATGCCCACACACAACATATAGAGCACAGTTTGGGGAGAGAATTTGCAGCCAATTCTCATATTACAATTCAATAGGGACAGAGTTCCTACATGGGGACCAAGTGCACAGTGACTACTGTTATTGCTTTAACAATTAACACTCTTTTTTTATGACATCAGTGAACATCCAAGGCTCTTGCTATGGGCTGCCAGGGTGGAAGGAGGAATTTAACAAACTCCCAGAGACCAGTTTTGTTCTTTGTCTCTGGTCCCCTATGCTCTCTCTTAATACCAAACAAAAACATAAACTTTGTAGTCAAAGATTGTTTCTTAATTCTGTGATTTCTCTTCCTGGCTTATAAGAGGCAATTACCTAATCCTTATTCTTACAGGATGAAGAAATAACTTTTCTTTCCAAAGAGACTGGTTTTCTAAGGGTGTTTCGGATTTGTAATTGATAGCTTGCTCTCTGGTAACCTTAACTATTGGCACTTTCAGCTTGTAGTCCCCCAACCAGGACTAGAACCCCGGGTGCTGGAGCCACAGGCTGAGGATTAGCTAAATGAGCCTGAGCCGCGGCGTCGCCCTTTCCTTTTTTCTTCTTCTTCTTCTTTTTTTTTTTTTTTTTTTTTTTTTTCAATAATGACTTCTTAATCAATACATTTCCGTGAGGAAAGTGCGTGGACGCACATGCGCACACACACACACGCTGGAGTTCAGGGCACCACAGCCTGAGCAACAGCAGCTCAGCGAGGGGCCAGGGCAGAGGGGACACAAAGAGCTCCCCCAGGGCAGCGCTGGGTTCTCCTCCGGACTCTGCTGCTCCCTCAGGATCCGGGCCAGAGAGACCCCGGGAAGAGTGGTCCACGGGCAAGGGAGGAAGGGTCGGGACCCCCAGAGAGAAGAACGGAAGCCGGAGCTCGAGGTGGCAGAGCGATCATTAAATCCACAGAGGGGAAACCCCACAGGCCACAGCGCCACGCACCCGCTCCTCCGTCAGCTCGCACACAGCTGGGAAGGGCGGGACACGGACACGCGGGACAACCCCGCACCAGACCTTGGGCTCCCACAGGCCACGCCCACCGCCGCGCGGCCCGGCGCTTTCCCGCCATCCGCAAGCCCCGCCCACCCACCCGTTGCCCTAAGCCCCTCACACAGCCCAGGCCACTGCGCCCCGAGGGCGCCATCGATGACCCCCAGCCCGGCCTGCAGGCCGCCGAGGGCCCTGGGGGCTGCCGCCCCCCTGGGGAACCCGGATGCGGACCCCGCTTCAGAAAACAGAGCTGTGGACAATGGAGGACCCCGCGCCAGGGCTCCGGAGCGGGGACAGCGGTGCGGGGTCACTTGAGGGCCGCCTTCCGGAACCGGAGTCAGAGGAGAAGACAGGGAACCGCGGACGCGGGGCGGACCCCGCGCCGAGGGACAGGGTTCCAGGAGGACGGGCGCCGGCCCCAGGCTCAGGACGCCGCTCCTCGGGAGGAGGATGCGGGAGCCGCGCCCACAGCTCCCGGGAGGGCGGGAAGGGCCGGGCCCCTGGAGGAGGCCGCGGGGCTGCGGAGCCCGGGCGGCAGGGGGCGCTCTCCGGGACCACAGCCTCCTGTTGTTTTAACTCCAGGCCTTTCATTCCTACTGTTGTGTTTATTCATTGGAGAGAGAGAATTACAGAGAGGGGAGAGGCAGAGAGAAAGGTCTTCCATGCTCTGGTTCGCTCTCCAGATGGCCACTACAAGGGGTCTCCCAGGCAGGAGCAGGCCCCAAGCCCTCGGGCCATCTTGCATGGCTTCCCCAGCCCATTAGGAGAGAGCCAGAACAGAAGAGGGGCAGCCGAGACAGGAACCAGCGCCCATGGGGGAAGCCGGCCCTGCAGGCGGAGGCTTAGCCCACCAGGACACAGCACAGGCCCGGACCACCGCGTTTGCGGTGCTGTGCAGAGAAACTGACTTGAAACTTACCAGACTCCAGGAGCTAGAATCCTGCTGTCTTTTCTCTTAGAAAGAGGAGCCCTTGCCTCCTGCGTGCAGGCTTGTAGTTTATAACTTTGTTGCCGGCAGAAGTCTCTGAGGGTTAAAGTGCAGTTAAGGAAGTGAGGTTAAGGTGGCTGCAGGTCATCCCGCTCTGTCTTGGGCTCAGAGGCTCTGGAGCTGGCTCAGTCACACTAAGGAGAGGAGCCCAGGAGCTGCAGCGTTGGGGGCACAGGGCATGCACAGAAGGGCAGGGTCCAGCAGCCAGGTGGCACAGCAAGTTAGAGCCCCAGTCTGCAGAGCCAGCCTCCATGGGGGCTGCTCCACTGGCTATGCAGCTCTCTGCTGTGGCCTGGGAATGCAGTAGAAGATAGTCCTAGTCCTTGGGCCCCTGCACCCACGTGGGAGACCTGGCAGAAGCTCCCAGCTCCTGGCAAATCCAACAGGACTTCCTGGGATAGATTTCAAAGCCCAGGACTAATCCTCTGTGACATGGGGCCTTGCCTCTGAGTCTCAGCCTGCATACTTCCATCTTCATTTGAGCCAGTAATCATCCTTTCTTCTCACACTCCTCTGATGTTTGTCCTCTTCCTGGTGTCAGCAGCCTTCCCTTGGTTGTTTTGTGCATCTACCTTGCCTGAGTCAGCCTGCCAATGCCCCGTGCTTGGCTCTGCCCACTTTACGAGGGGCTGTTCTCACAATCTCAGGCACCTCTGGAAAATCTTTATTGACCTGATTTCCATTGGTCATTGTGGTTTTTAATTTTTTGTCTTTGAAACTAGCAGCATTGCCTAGCAGAAAAGCTGGGTCCACAGAGGTCCAGAATGAATCTCTACTCTCCCTGGCTCCAGGAGACAAAAAGAAGAACATGGTCTCCATACTGAAATGACCTCCACGAGGTCTGACACTCTCCAGCATTGCAGCAGAGGAGAAAGCCTGAGGGAGAATTCTGGAGGAAGGACCCACACAGGACAGGCAGGGCTGTGTTAACTACTCATTCAACTTGTGTGTTCTCTGCTCCCATTCTATCACCCAGTGATTGAAAACAGAGAATAAATAATGGACAATAGAAGTGTGGGAAAAGCTGTGTCCAAGGAATGACCCTCATACTTTTGTTTGTTTTTAGCAGCAGAAATAGCAGTGTTTTATCCAAAGTCCACAAAACCCAACAATGCATTCTTGGAAGACAAGAGCCATGCTTGGCACAGGGAAGCTGGAGGTCAAAGTTCATGGGCTGGCCCTCCTTCCATCAGGTGCTGTGGTGCTGAGACAACCTCTTAGTCTCTATGGAGCTCAGGTTCCTCATCAGTGAGGTAAAGTGTGTATTGTTCCTCTCTGAGGTCCTGCTGCTTAGGTTCCTCTGAGTCCCTGGGGAACCACACGTGCCCTGGGAACTGAGGCTGAGAGCTGACCTAGTCCCTCCTCTGTGTCTCCTCCCAGATCCGGAGCTGAGTCCACATCCTGAGAACCCAGAACTGAAGGTGCAGATGAAGGAAGACGAGCAGCTCTCTGGGATGCAAGAATGACCCAGAGAATGACAAGGTAATGTTAGGGTGAAACCAAGTGTGGGTGAGATGAAGGATACATTGTGTCAGAAACCTCAGGGGATACTCAGAAAGGCCTACTCCACTGTCCAGCCCCTGAAGGAGCCACCTTCCATGAGCACTGAGGTCAGGAGAGAAACTGACTCCACAGTGAACCTGTGCACCTGGCCAGGGAGATCCCTGGATGGAATCAGAGCAGGTTTATGCTGAACACAAGCTTTCCATGCAAACTAGAGATCCTGGTAACTTCAGTGTCACCACCAATAAACAACATAAAAAAAAAAAGAGAGAGAGAGAGAGAAACCACACACTTCCTGCCCTCTTCAGCTAGGTACATTTTCCCACCCATGCTCAATTCTGCCAGGCAACACACTGCACAGTCCTAAAATGGCAGTGGTGCAGTCACACAGCCCCAAAGTAAGGATCCCCATGATCCCCACATGGGGCCAAGACCTATGTACATTGTTCACAAGGCTTTTGCTTTCTCTGTGCTATAGTGTGAAAGCACTCACAGAACTCAGTAGCCAAAATAATTAATCATTCATCTGAGAAATTGGCAAAGGACCTGAGTAGACATTACTCCATGAAAGGAATACGCATTGCTACCAGGTTTATGACAAGTTGCCCATTATCAGTACTCATCAGGGAAACACCATTCCAGACCACAGAGGGATATCCCCTCAGAACCATAGGGTCAACTGCTGTCAAAAAGACGAGAGAATAAATGTGGGCAAGGGTGTACCAAAAAGGAAACCCTTTTACATTATGTGTGAGACTGTTGAGTGGTATGGCCATTATAGAAAACACTATTGTAATATTTTTGAAACATTAAACTAGAACTGTCAAATGACCCATTCATCCTCCTTATGGGTATATGTGCAAGGAAAGAAGAAACAAAAATCCGGATCAGCATCTAGTAGAGATACCTGCAATCCCTAGTTGATGCCTTATTCACAGAGGCCAAGATGCAAACTGCCTACATGTCCATCAACAGATGGTTGGTTAAGAAATCTTGCTGGCTATATATATGGCTTGAAAAGTGTATTTTAATAAAAGGATACTACAGATTTTCCATGACACTTTGGAATCACTTGAAGATTTTGTATCACTCATGCATTTCTGTGTATAGATATTTATATACATATAATGTGTAACAATACATTATACATGATATATGTATGATTAGACTTAAATATGTATTTATATTTATATGATGGAATGCTGTTCAACTCAAAGATAAAGGAACTCCTGTCATTTGTGAGAAACTGGATGAAATTGGAGGACATTATGGTGAGTGAAATAAACCAGATATAGAAATATTAATACTGCATGAAGTCTGTTATGTGTGGTGTCTGAAAGAAAAAAAGAAAAATTGTTGAATATGTCGATACAGAATGAAAGAGAGATCATCAAGGTGGAGGAGTCTGGTGGGAAGAATAGAGAGATGTTGACCCAAGAGTACAAAGTAGTAGTTATAGAGAAGAACTAAATCTAGGGTTCTGAAGTTAAGCATGAGAATCTGAGTTATTCGTGGAGCCTTCTATTCTCTATTAGAATGAGAAAGTTTGAGAACTTTCTAAGAGTAGATTTCATGGGTTCTTACCATGTGCAGGCACATAAAGGTTAACTGTGAGATGATGAATACTTTATTTACTGGTCTAGAGGAATCATTACACTATGGATATGTACATTACAATATCATTTTGAATATTTTAATAATTATTTTAAAAGATTTATTATTCTATTTGAAAAGCAGAGCTACAGACAGAGGAACACACACACACTGAGAGGGAGAGACCTTGCATCTTCTGTCACTCCCCAAGTGCCTACAACAGCCAGGGCTGAGCCAGACAAAGCCAGGAGCCCAAAATGCCATCTGGGTATCTCACAGGAGCTCAAGGGCCAAGGACATAAGCCATGTTCCACTGCTTTTCCTGGCACATCAACAGGGAGCTGGGTCAGCTCAAACTAGAGCCACTGGGACTCCACCAGCACTCATAGAGGAGACAGTGTCTCAAGTGGTGGCTTAACCCACTAAGCCACAGTGGAGACTCCTACATTTATTTAGACATCAGAATTTAAAATTTCAAAAAAAAAATCCCAGTTTTGATCATCCACTCAAATGGAAACCTTAACATCTGCAGCTTTTGGGGCCGGCATTTCGTTCAGCAGTTAAGCGGCTTTTGCAATGCTCACATCCTATAGTTGAGTGGCGGGGTTTGAGTCACCAAAGGGTTTCCTGTCCAGATTCCTGCTAATGTGCACCCTAGGAGGCAGCATGTGATGGATCAAGTATTAGATCTCTTAGTTCTAAGGGTACAAGTTCAAGAACTTGCCATAGGACACCAAAATCCCTTAAGCTGCCTGATAAAAAGAGCAGCTTCAGTGTTATAAAGTAAATGGACAGGATTAAGTGGTAAAGTGAACATATAGATGGATCAAGTGTTAAAGTGATCATATAAATAGGACAAAGTGTTTGGAAAAAATAATAGAATTCAAAAGGAGTGGAGGCTCTAGCATGAAAAGCAGACTCATAGAATGAGTAGCACTGTGAACTCAAAATATCCCCATAAGGCGTTCCAGTCTGGCTGGAAAGCCCATGGGAGCATTTCAGGCATGGAAATCTAAGACCCTTTGGAAAAAAACGCCCTACATATAGGACACCTGTGGGTGAGACTGAAGTGGAAAGAAGTGGCCATTATGAAGGATGCACATTCCCTGAAGGGAGGAGAGAGCTGCCTCTTTGCTCATGGCCTTGTCGAGCTAGGTGGATCCAGAAGGCTTCTGTAGCTGAGGCAGCTCATGTCAAGCACCCTGGGTGAGCACTGATGTGAGACATAAGAGTGTGATTTGTTAAAGACACAGTGAGAGCCACTGTGCACTGCCCTCTGTCCTCAAAGCTGCATCAAGGGACCTAATAGTAGAACTGTTCTCCAGAATCACTTCCTTTTAGTGCATTAAATGGAGGATATTCTTATGTCTCATAGGTTATAGTTCTGTCTAAGAGCTCACAGCAGATGTATCATCCGTGGGTTCTTCTTTGAAGACAAGTGAGTTTCTAAAAGGAAAGAAGGGGGAAGAAGGAAGGGAATAGCAGAAGGGGGCAAAAAGTGAAATCACCTTTGAGAAGCAGTAACCTTGGACAGCTCTTTGCTAGGCTGCTGAGTAACAGTTCCCTGAGTTTTCTTGTTCCATTCTGTCTTTTTTTCTTTCTCAGACTAAACAGGAGAGTTGGAGGAGGAAGAGGGGGAGAATAGGTGGGAGGGCAGGTAGATGGGAAGAAGGACTATGTTCTTAACATTGCATTTATGCCATAGATACAACATTAAATAAAGAAGTTAATTTAAAAAACTACTTCAAATATGTAACACCCATATTCCTCAAAATAAGTTTGCCATCATTATAAAATTAGTTGCAATAATTATATATAAATTTATTATAAAAAAGCATTAGGTTCTTCACACACATTGGCAGAATAAATTGGAGTTCTGGACACCAAGTGTCACCCTGGCCAAGCCTGACTGTTGCATGCATTTGGGGACTGAAATAGTGATGGAACACATAGCCTTGGTTGTGTTTCTCTGTGTGTATGTCTCTCCACATCTCAAATAAGTATACTTAAACAAAAAACATTTTCATTTTCATAAAATGTTTCATCTTATAAGTTACTTGTTTTATTCAAAGGGCAAAAAGACAGAGAAAAGAGCTCTCCTAGTGACTGGTGTGAACCTAGGAGGCCTGAGGTAACCTGGGCCTGGCCAGGCTGAAACTAGGACTGGGTCCATCAGGATCTCCCACATAGACTGCAGTGACACAAGTATTGGAGCCGTCACTGCTGCCTCACCGTGTGTGCACTACCAGGAAGCTGGAGGGGAGAGCAAAGCAAGGACTCAGTCCCAGGCACTCTGATCCAGGTGTGGGCACCCTAGGTGGCATCTTAACTGCTGTGCCAAATGCTTGTGCCAATTTCAACCTCTTAGAAGAAGAAATAGTACAATGTCTTTCAACTTGAATTAGATTACATTTTTTAGGGATTATACCCAAACTACATGTAATAAAAGAACAAATTCATAAATGTCCCAATATGTTCAAATTTCCTGTTCAAAGTCATTGATAAGAAGATGAATAGACAGGCCAACATAGGGAGAAAACATTTTGAAATTACATACCTGATATAACAATTCTTTTCAGAGAACTAAAAGAGCTCTCAAAATTTCATTCAGAAAAATGAAATGACCCATTTATCATGGAAACTTAAAACTCAACATTTCAAACAGGTAGAAAAGCCTTGTGATCTCTTAAACAGCAGGTGGGGTGACTTCCTAACAGTCCTGAGAAAGGAAGGCTTGTTGGGACACATTTTCTGTCTTGGTATTTTCATACACATACATGACTATACGAGCGATACATGCTTAGGTGATTTGGGGACACGGTCTGTGGTGTCAGCGCAGGATCTATAACTATGAGACTGGCAGATGGGTAGGCTGTCCCCACCAGTGGGGGTCTTGTGCCTCAACCTAGCTTAGGCCCCTGGAAGGCAGAGTTCCAAAGATTCCGTGACACTCTCCACCTTCTAATTCTGCTATGGCAACGGCAGACCGTTAGCTGCCACACAACAGCCAGTCCTAGCAGAGACTGAGCTACAGGCAGTGCCTTCAATCTAGGCTTTGGCAATTTTATCCTTGTTTGTCCAGAGAAGAACTTCCCAGTGTTGTCGGGCTGTGGATCAGGTGTTTCACATCAGTAAGTGAAGCTGGACAGTTATTGTCACCCCTCAAGCCTACCTGAAACTCTTGGATGTCATTTGTTTGACCCTCGCCTGTGTTTGGGTTTCCTCTCCCCAGTCCCTGTTGTCCTGCCGTGACACACCATCAGCATGGCAGGATCCCACAGCCCTGCATCAGTTCCCGTGGCAGAACTGAACGACCTCGAATGCCAGCAGTTGCGATCCCAGCTGGCAAAGAGCCAACAGGAATACTGGGAGCTCCAGGAGAAGTTTCTCATAGCTGAGGCTACAAACTTTGCCCTGGCCAGGGAGCTGAAAAAATACAGTAAGTTCTCTCGGGTCATTTCACCACAGTGATGATTGTCCTGTATCTTCTCCTGAGGAACTAAATGGCCTCATTACTTGATTTTTGTCTTCTTTTTGCCAAACTTAATTTCCTCCTGACCACACTCCCAAGCTGACACACAGGGTTTTGCAAGTTTTCCAAGTTAGCGGTGAGGTGTAGGGTGACAGGAGTGCTGAATCTGTCATGGATTCCTGATGAGGCATAGAGCTGCCTGTTGTCCTCAGGCTCAGGCTCCACCATATTGAGTGCATGTTTATGATCATCCTGTCTGTGTCAGCTCCTGCAGCCTTATACCATCACTGTGGGCCCCATTTCTGGGGCTAACGCATTTCACTCAATTCAAGCTTCTGTTGAGTTCCCATTGGCAAATCACTGTCCTAGGTCCAGAAGTGGATATGTGTTCAGGGTGAGCAGGATGGGCTCCCAGAGAGACAGAGAGTCTCCTGTGCACTGGAACTCTGGTATCCATGGGAACACCCTCACAACACAGCCTCCTCACTGGGAGAAAAGTCCTGCTCCTGGAGCACAAGTTCTTCTTCTCCCAGAAGAGGAAGATGGTGCCTGAGACCTGGGAGTGGGAACACAGGGGGGGGGAATCAGGGCCACTCACCTGGGTGCCCCCCATTGCCCACCTTCTCTGTAACTTCAATTTCTCTCCCACTCATAGGTGCTATCATAATTCCTGCCTCTGTAGATTGTCACAACAAAATGTGCTCCTTCTTTCCTATACAACTCCAAGGATGGTTCCTTGCTCAAGATCAGCAGAATCCATGAGGCCCTTATTGTACTGTTTCTAATTTAGCAGGAACTATACTTTTTATTGGGCCATATTGCCTCAGGGCCTTACTTTGTTATACATTGTATTCTACACAGTTCCATGAAAGATGGTCCCTTAAGTCTGAAATAACAAACATTTGAAATATTTCCCAATGCAAGGAAACAGTCCTACACCCTTATCAAGCTCCCAAACATACAAAAGGTGATGACTTCGTGCCTCAGCTTCACGTTTGACCTGAGAGGCTGCAAGACTTGCTGAGTCCAGTGGCTCATAATTCAGTCTGAGCTCAGGGGCTGGGAATTCTGATTCTGTAAACACCGGTGGAATCACCTTGTCAAGTCAACTTCAGTATCTTTGAAGTCCTTTTTTCTCATTTTATTGGGAAATAGCAGGGTCAGTGCTGTGGTTCAGCAGGTAAAGCCGCTGCCTGCAGTGCTGGCATCCCATATGGATACTAGTTCAATTCCGGCTGGTCCACTACCAATCCAGCTCTCTGCTATGGCCTAAAAAGCAGTAGAAGATAATCCATGAGCTTAGGCCCCTGCATCCACATGGGAGACCTAGAAACAGCTCTTGGCTCCTGGCTTCAGATTGGCACAGCTCCAACCTTGCAGCCATTTGGGGAGTAAACCAGGTGATAGAGTCTCTCTCTCTCTCTCTAACTCTCTCTCTCTCTCTCTCTCTCTCTCTCTCTGCCTATGTCTCTCTGTAACTTGCCTTTCAAGTAAATAAATAAATATTTTAAAATAGGAAATTTCAGATGCTATGTAGTGAGGTGATGAAATACAGATGTGAAACTCTGAATCTGGAGCCTGGCCCTGGAGTTCGTTTGGGCTTCAGCAGGCACTGACTACAAAAGCACCTCCCTGAGTTCTGCATGTCTGTCTTTCCCCAGATTGTGAGAAGTTTAAAAACATCATTGAGTCCATACTGACCAAGAAGCTCCACTTGGAGGAGCCGCTGGCAGAGAAGCCCACGGTCTCAGAGCTGCTCAGGTAAGGGTCTCTGTGTGGGGCAGGCAGGTGGGAGGTGTGTGGGTGTCTCCAGTGGGGCAGCTCAGAAGGGAGAACTGAGGCATCTCAGGCATGGAAAGCCAAGGCACTGTGCAAAACAATGTTCTCCATGTAGGATCACTGTGGGACCCCAGACAAAGAAGTGGCCATCAAAGGGGGATGTACTTTTCTCTAAGGGAGGAGAGAACTTCCACTTTGCTGATGGCCTTGTCTAAATATGGACAGAGTTTTCAAAATGCTTCCATAGCCTAGTCAGCTCATGTCATGAGCCTTGTGTGGTCCCTGACAACATACAGAGGAGTGCTAATTGTTAAATTAACAGCAGGAGTCACTGTGCACTGACTCCCCATGCAGGACCTCTGTCCTCAATGAGTTTTATTAAGAGAGAGTTACAGTGAAACATTTCTCAAACAGTTTTTATTCTTGGGTGGGCGTGTGTGCGTGCGCGCGAATTTTTGAAATTGTTACTTAATATAGAGTTGGTCTTCTGTGTACAAAGTTCATTGAAAATACATCTTAATGGAGAATGAGACTGAGAAGTAGAGAGGGAAGAGGAGCTGGGCTGTGAGTGTGGGTGGTACCCTGGGTATGGGGAGAATAACTATATTCCTAAAGTTGTCTTATGAAATGTATATTCCTTAAAATAAATGAATGAATAAATTTTTAGAAAGAAATGGTAAAAATTAATGTTACAATGAAAGTAAAAGTGAATAGGTACTTTGAAAAAGTTCTCCCTTCAGGAGAAATTAAAATGAAAATACATTTTTCCTCCTCAATTACTGTTGATTTCCCAAATAAAATGGTATGAATAGATAATAATAAAACAAAGACATCATGGAGTCCATGTTGACCAAGAATCTACACGTGGAGAGCCCCTGCCAAAGCAGCCCAGGTCTGCTGAGCTGCTCAGGTAAGGCTCTCTGTGTAGGGCAGGCAGGTGGGGATGTGTTTCACTAGTGGGCAGCCCAAATCAAAAACTGAGCCAGCCTGTGCCAAACAAGGGCAGAGAGTTACAGCAAAGCCCCGTGTCTCAGATGTTATGAAACAAGGAGGGAGCAGAGGAATCTGAATTCAGAGCTAAAAGTGTGGAGAGTCTGTAAGTAAGGTGTGCAGGTGGATGGGCTCCCATGGGGCCCTCCTGTTTACTCTCTCTTCTGCAACAGGAAATCCCCGTGGCTGTGTTTCTGAGAATCCAGTCACCAGTTAGCTTTGGTCCTCTGTAGGTGGTGCTATGCCTGTTCTCTCTTCCTCCCGTGTTCTCATGGTTCCCTTAGTGTGGAGGTGCTTTTCTGTGGGCACTCACCTCGAGATGGAGCTGCATTGGGTCTTCTCAGGGGAGGTGGAGGGGATGCTGGGCTCCTCTGTTTGGTCATCTTATAATCAATCCTCATTTACCCTTAGTCACCATCACCTCCTGATATAGAAGACTGATGCTTAGCTGGGCCCTGCCAGACCTTCATTCTTGTTTCTTGCCATGTAACCCCTGTGTGCAGCATGACTCCCAGTCACTGCACTGTACACTGTGTCTCTTCCTATATGGAAATGCCTGTGGCTGGAAGGAGGAACTGAATTAGCCCCTTTATGAAGGTGAGGAAGGAAGAATCCTTGCACTGTTGATAGAAAACAACCTGAATGGAATCTCAGGAATTGTGACAAGATCTTTCTCTAAAAGTAGGAGCAAGGCCTTGTGTTGCCCTTTGCTTTTCTTGGCACAGGTATTTCTCCAAACCTGAGTGGTGATGCTGGTGGAGGGCTCTATAAGGCATTGTTATGAAAATCTGTGAGAACACACAGAACCTAACACTCATCCCTTCCCGTCTAGAACTTTCTCCACTCTTGCACCTTAGGCATTGCCGTGGCATCCTTGAAGATCAGGACCAAGAACTTTCCCAGTTACGTCCAAAGGTCCAAAGGGGGAGAAATCTAGCCCACATCCTGCAGCAGTACCTGAAGGACGTGCTCACCGTGCATGACCCTGAGACCTGTACGGGGCAGGGCTTCCGACGACTGCTCACTGAGGCTGTCCGGCTGTCAGCGTGCCTTGAGGACCTGCTTGGAGCAGGTAAGCTGGGCACAGGCTGTCATCTGAGAAGCCTCAGGGGTTCAGATGCATTCATCTCTCTGCCATGGGCATTTGCCTCAGCTCTTCTTGGTACTGAACATGTGTGCCATGACTAGGTCAGCACTGCTTGGGAAACACAGATAGGGGCAGATAAGTCTTTCAAGTTTGCAGTATCCCAAAGGTCTCCTCCCTTCCTGATTGTGGTTGGCCTTTGGGGCAAGAGGCAGGGTCCATTCCCATATCAAGACCAGAAAGACCTTGTGAAGTGAGGCCACTGTTAGGCTGAACACAGTCACTGAGCTAACTTGAATGGAAGCCTCCAGCTCTGTGCTCAGTGTGGTTTTCAAATGGTAGACAGGTGATTGCTTTCTCCACCAGGATTTCTCTCTCCTCAGCCACTAAATGGACCAAAAAATCTGGGGCAGAGCAGATGTAACCGTCAAAGGTGGAAGCTGTTGCTTGCATGTTTCCCAGTAGGACAAAGGCCCTCCTCTCCCTGGGAGTGCCAGACCAGGCACTAGAGTTAGTAGAACTTAAGTGAGGAAAGCAGTTGAGAAGGGAACTCATAACACAGAGAGAATTTCCTCTAATGATACAGCAGAGAAAACGTGGAGGGCCTGTGAGGGAGGGATGGAAGTCAGGTTCTTTGCTTCTTCATGACAGATGGAGGTTCTCTGTGAGACCCATGCGAACATAGAACCCATGCCTTGGACTCCCACTAGTGGCAGGATGAGGGATAACAGGCAGAAGTCCCAGGGAAGCTTGAGAAGCTTCCAGTGATGTGGGCCTAGTTTCAGGCAGAATCTGCCATGGTTCTGATCTCCAAGTGCAGAGACACAAAGCCTGATGGACCACAAGAGAATGGCAAGGTGTTTCTTTAAACACAGAACATTTGAAGTTTTTGTCCACTATTGGCCCATATGTAGATATTCATATGCACACAGAGGCCACCTTGATTGTAGTGGGAGGGGGGTGATAATATCTGATTGGACATTTCTAAAATTGTTTACAGAAAATATTGAAGAGGAGGAAACACCAGCACAAGGACCTGTTGCTGACAGGTAATAGTGAATGATTAGGAGCTGGCAACAAATGGGTGAAGGATGCACAGGGTCTCCTAAAGAACAGAAAAGGGGCCAAGACAGTCATGGAGTTGAGACGCACGCAGAAACACAACTTCAGATTGTGTTGAGTCCTTTCTTGACAACTAGGAAATCCCCCTGTTCAAGTAGTTGTTAAAGTAGTTGTCTAGTTGCTGATAGGATCCATCATGAACTCACAGCCTTAGGTGTTGCCTGCACACAAAGGGAACCCCTGTTCTCTGCTTTCCAGAAAAGTAGAGGAAGATGCACATCAGCTTTTTTTTTTTTGGACAGGCAGAGTGGACAGTGAGAGAGAGAGACAGAGAGAAAGGTCTTCCTTTGCCATTGGTTCACCCTCCAATGGCTGCCATGGCCGGCGCACAGTGCTGATCTAAAGGCAGCAGTCAGGTGCTTCTCCTGGTCTCCCATGGGGTGCAGGGCCCAAGCACTTGGGCCATCCTCCACTGCACTCCCTGGCCACAGCAGAGATCTGGCCTGGAATAGGGGCAACCGGGACAGAAAATCAGCATCCCGACCGGGACTAGAACTCGGTGTGCCGGCGCTGCAAGGTGGAGGATTAGCATAGTGAGCCACAGCGCCAGCTGCGCATCTGCTTTCTACAGAGAGCTGAAGTTCTCATCAGAGAAAACTAGCAAAGAGGCAATGTGCAAAGGGAGCAGTTAGGAAGAATCCAGCCAGGTTCAACTGCAGAAAAGCACCTCTACAGAACCATGTTTGCTGTCCTGTGACTTGGTTAAGAGAAGGCCCAGAAGGTAGCACATCTCTAGAATCTGCCAAGCCCCTAGAACCTTGATCACATGGCTGCAGGACACTGCAACAACCCAACCTGAGCACAGGGTGTCAGCCCGCGTGGCTGTCAATGTGTGCTTGTGCTGTGACTGTGCCATGCAGCGACAGTGGAGGCTGCTTCCTCATTAGCTGCTGTGTATTGAGTGTGATGAGCAGAGGCTGATCTCTTCCCAGGCCCTCTCCCCCTAGGCAGCCACACGGTGTCCAGAGTGGAGGGAACCGCCTCTATGCTGTCTATGACCGATCCTTTATGCATCCCATCCAAATTAGTCAACTCCCTGGTGTCTCTTCCTTCTTGGTTTAATCTCTGTCATCCTTATCCCACCTGGCTTCTCAGGGAGCTCTTGGAAGTGGATGAAATGGAAACCCCACAAAGTTCACAGCAGGAAACATCTATCACTGGTGCTGTTGACCACCTGCCGAGTGACTCCTGCCTGCCTGAGGGCACTGTGCAAATATCTCATGATGCTGAGGACACCCACGGTGTGCTAGGTGTAGACGGGGAACACGCTTGTTCACACAAGAAAGAAGAACCTGTCACCGTTCTCCCAGGTAGCCTCTCCATTCTTTGTACACAATGATTCTCAGGTTGAGGGTTGCTTTTGAGCACAGGCCCTGCAGACACAAGTTGGTTTCAATCAGGTTGGGTCCAGGTTGTGGCACTGAACATAGACATCAGGAGAGTCAAGGAGCTTCCCTCCCCTCAGATGCTGTTTGTCTCACTGCATCCTAGCCCATGGGAACATACAGAGGCCCTGTGTAGGAAGTGCCTTTCAGACACTCTAACTTAGAAATAATGCCTGCTGTCACCTGCAGTGATATCATTCTGTTCTACTACTGCATCCCTGGAGTTCTAGCCCCGTGCAGGCTTTTGGTAACACTTCCCATGTGTGGGCCAAGTTGTGATCCTAGTTTCCCTACTTCCATCCCTAGTCTCTGTCTTCTTTAATACAGCTTATCTTAGCTATGCAATCATCTCAAAACCAGGACATAAAGTCTTTTATACTGTACATCCTGTACAGTTCAAAAAACATAGCTGAATCTAGGAACATCCTACAAAATCAATGTTCAATGTTTCTCTATAACTGCATATTTATCTATGCAAGGTGTTATGGAGTTCATTCAGCCTTCTGTAGAAACTCCTCTACCCTTATTCACCATGATCAGTCTGATAGGATGAGTCAGTACTATAGCAACACTCATAGATTTTGGAAACATAAACCCTAAAGGGCCTGGGGAGAGAGCTCTTGAATTGCTTTTATTGTTCCCATAGACAAGAGGGAGATTATTCATGAGCAACTCTTAGAATAGCCAAGATTCTGTGTGGCATCAAACAGGTTTCAATTCCAGGCCATACAGACTCCATGCATAGCTCTCTCCCAGTGTTCTACCTCCTCTCCACAGTCAGCAACCTGGGTCCTTTAATGAGAGCAGCCTGACAACTGCAGTTTGCCTCCTAGAAAGTTCTTGGGCTGTGAGCTTAGAATCCCTGAGGACCATTGCAGGCTGTTTCTAAGGGTTCTGGACAGAGGTTATTGAGATGCTGATCCAACTGTGAACAGGGAGATTTGACCCCTTGCCCAGGATGGCTCACCAAGCCCATCTCCTGATGTCAACTTAGTCCTCCTGGAGGATTTCTGTCACAGTCTCCTGTTCTCACACGAGAACAATCTGTCCCCTTGGTAGTAGTGGCCATTGGATACCCATATCTGACCCAAAAGCTGCTTAACCTGGTCAATCTTTCTGAATTTGTTTGCAGAAAATCAATATCACGAAGTGGAGGTACCAGAGCAAGTTGTCACATACACTTCCAGGTAACTCGGAGGCAGAGCAGACAGTGTAGCATGGACTACTAGGGAATTGAAATGCTGGAGAAACTGGTGACTACAGCCATTTTGAACATTCAGCCAATGATGAAATGGCTCCGTTCATAATGTTCCCTTTTGTATTGTTTCCCTCTATATTCCCCCTTTGAACATCCCTCACATATTTTTACCTGTAGTCTGATGACAAAGTCACTTCTGTACCTGTGATGCGTGTCTTCAGTGTCTCTGCCCTCCCATCTCAGCAGGAAGCTCCCAGAGGAGCAAGAGCGGGAAGACCCAGACGACCGGCTGGATGAGTGCTACCTCTCTCCCTCGATATTTCCGGTCGTTTCTGAGCTTGACCATTCCACGTGGGGCAGCTGGTGCTCCCTGGAGCATCAGGACATGCTTTCTGCTCCAGATGCAAACAGTGAGTCCCCCACTGTGAGGTGATACAACCCCCTCTGCTTGCCAAGGAGCCCGCACTATCCTTGCACTCATCACTCCCACCTGACTGAGAGGGCTCCTGGACATGGGATGGTCTGAGACATTCTCAGCATCTGTTCTTTTTCAACCAGTCTGTTGCACAGGTGTGGTTGGCCCATCCAGCCTTGCTGTCTTCCCATTCCTTGTGTGGCTTTGTCACTCAGATTCCAGTGCTCAGTCATTGCCAGAAGAATGTCACAGATGCACACCAACCTAAGCAGCACATCTCATGCTTGTCTCTGCCATCCGTTCATAATGAAGCAGACCCTTCTGCCCCCTGCAGTGTTGATCACAGGAGTCATTCCCCGTCCCTGTCATGTGACATTGTTTCCTGTCAGAGCCAGCAGCATGCTCATCTCCATTGCAGTCAAGATACTCCCCCTGTTTCATTGAACCCAACCACGTTGTCTGTCCCTTCAAAGTTGGCATCATTTCACCTACCACACGTACAGAATGTTCTGCCATTCCTTTAGTAGTGTGTCCCCAGGCTGCAAGTCTGAGACCTGTGCTGAGAGATTCCATGAGTAGCCCAGTTTTCTCTTGTGCTGCACACATTCACTCTGATACCCAGAACTGAAAATTCACCTGTTCCACCTTTTATCTTATCCTCAATGCACAAAATATGGTAAACCACAAACTACCAAGATAGCTTGTTTGAGAACCATGGGCACTGCACTTCCTCTCATGGAAAGGAATCACACTAGGAACCAAGCATCTCCAGAGATTATTATTTCAGATTTGATTTTATCTTATGAAAGGCAGAATTAGAGAGAGAAACAGGGAGGAAGAGAGAGAGAGGCAACTCTTGCATACTCTGGTCTGCTCCCCACATGGCCACAATGGCACTGACTGGACCAGGCCCAGGGAGGGACTAGGAGTTTCCCCCAGGTGTCCTATGTGGGTGCAGGGCCCAAGTACTGGACCATCTTCTACTGCATTCCCAGGTGCATTAGGGATCTGGATCAGAAGTAGAACAGCCAGGACTTGAACCGGCATTCACATGGGATCCTGGGGTTAAAGGCAGCAGCTTTACCTGCTTGCCACAGCACCCACACTTGGGAAAATTCGTTTCATTTCTGTAGGGAATCAGGTCAGCGATTATTGGTGCGATGACTGGAGGAATAGGGAGGTTTACCTCATGTGTCAAGAAAAATGAACAAGCTAGTTCCCTCAGAAATGACCTCAACCCTCTAGACAATTCCTATCTGAGGAGTCGGCAGTGACACTGAGGATACTGGTGTGCTGTGCGAGCGCTGGACAGCGCATTGTACAGGCTTTGAGGGGATCATCCTAGATGACTGTGCCTATTTGAATTCATTTGCAGTAAAGGAACATGACAATGATGAAGTGCAAGAGGAAACACAAGCCCTATCACACTCCAGGTGAGTCTTAGGAACCCTGGGCAGCGAGCTTAGTGCTGACACAGGCAGACTCCAGGTCCAGAGAAGAAGAGCAGTGCCACTGTGCATCTCCCATCCATTGAGCCAACCCAGCGGTACCCCGTCAGCACTGCTGTCTGTCATCATTAGGGTACTAGTCTGGGTTTCCACTTCTCCCTACCTTTTCCATGTAGTGACCTGCAGCAGGCTGACTCCATGAAGGAGCCTCTCCAGGGATTCCTTGCCATCATTGCCTCTCACATGCAGTGAAGGGCAGGGTGCTGCTCACAGGTCTCCTCTTCTCATGAGCTTCTCTGCACCCCATTAATCACGTGAAACCACCCGACAGAAACTAGTGCCTCAGCACTGAGAATAAGACTGACAGCTAAAGCTGTGATAGTCTCTAGTATCCCAAAAGGGGAATTCATTGACTCTGCATGTAATTTGCTTAAATCTGTTGAAGCCAGTTTTTGTTTTCCAAATACTCATGGGTACTAGTGGACCAACTGAGAGTCATTTCTCCAGGCTGAGTCCCTAATGACCTCATCACAGAGGAAATTCTCTGTTTCTCTCTGCTTCTGTCTCCATGCCCTTTCAATATCTCTGCTACTCACCTATCACCTCAAACCTAATACTCTTTCTCCAAGAAGATGAGAGTTCTGTTTGCCTGTTTACTTTCAAATGACTTCAAGCAGTACAAATCAGCATAAAGAAGTCTACAAGAACACACAGATTCAATAACATTTACTATTTGGCTGTAGTTGATTTGTGTGTAAATATTATATATCTACACACACATACTATTCTCAGTGAAGGCGGTGGGGTTTCTGTTGTAACTGGCTTTCTGTTTGCCACGCGCTTCCTATGAGCACTTCATTTTTCCTCACATGAAAGCTGCCCTGTGTTAACGTTCAGTTCGTCTCCTCCAGGTGGTTCAGCAAGGAGCCTCCTCAAATGGAAGACATTGCATCCTGTCTACACCGTTAGTAGCCAGTCTTCCCCAGATAGGGACAAGGTTGTGGGTGGCCCCTTACTCAGGACAGCCACTTCTGGAAGCCTCCTCTTAGGAACAGCTTGGAAAGGGGCTTTCTGTTCCCTTTATGCTTCTCACCCACCTTTCCCTCCCTCCAGTCTCATCAGGGAGATTCCAGAGATTGAAGATCAAGATGTCTCACAAGACTCTCACAGTACGTGTTTGACTCCTGCACTTCTTCTGGAAGCTTCTGACTGCTCCCATACTAGGAGCACCTGGTCCTCACTGGGAAACAGCCTGTCTGCTCTGCTCTTGTTGGAGACAGTGAGTGCTCCATTGTGAACAGGAACACTACACTGGTCTCCCAGGTGGCCTCTGGAGTCTTGGGTTGCTGCACCTGTGTTGGGTGAGACAGACCACTGTGCACTCAGGCCCTGGGGACTTATCTCAGTCTGGATGTGGCTTTTGGATGGAGTTTGCTCATAGTCATCAAACAGGGGAATCCCTTGGCTGTCACCAGGCCCACTTTCAAGGTGCAGCTTTTGATATCAAAACAGGGAAGGAGGGGATGGGAAGGCATGATGGCAAAACACCGAGCCACCACCATCTCTCTTGGAGAGGCTTCTTTAACAAGTCACTGTGATGTTCTTAATTTGAACAACAGTTGCAATTGTAAACAGCATCCTCCAAACTTCTCAGGCTTAAAGCTTTGGCAGTCTGTACAATGTTTCCTTAGTTATCTGATACTAGGTATCCTTGGTTGGCAGATTCTCTGTTTTCTCTGAAGCAGCTTGGTGTTAAGCACAGCAGTCCAGTCCCGCACCAGTGTCCATGGTGTGGTTTTCATCTTCAGCTTAACAGCACTGATTTGTGCTCATATGAGGTCTGTAGTTTTAATCCAGTGTCTACACTCGGCATTTTTTTCTCATGCAAAGCCTCCATAATCTTGCACCACGACAGGAATCTATTCAGTATCTGAGTGAGGCTGAGGGTTCCCTCACGTCATCACAGGCAGAGTGCCTCTTGTTGAGTAGGAGCCTTGGAGCATGCCTTCATGGGGGGAGGCAGAGAAAAAGTCCAATTTCCTTGAATCTGAGCTTCAATGAACTTTTACACTTTCTCTCAGGAGGAATCTTTAGGGTTTGAGGCACCTTCACTCATCAAATCATTCTGTAGGAAAATCACGAAATCCTGATGCCCTTCCCTGTTTCTCAGTGTTCTGGAGTAGAATTGGCAATGACAGTTGTCCCCCCAGTGCTATAGATCAGCAGGCACCTTTTCTTGGTGAGACCATGCACTTTTCCTCTGTACAGATGTACAGAGATGTGCAGAGTCATCCCAGGTCACAGCGATTCACACCCAGCTATGAAGGCCACTCTCATGGGCATCTGTGCTGTGCTAGACCCTGTGCCATCCTGATCCATGCAACCCTCACTGGACCTCTCCTGGTGGAGATTCTGTCCCCACCTTGGGGAGAGGATCCTGAGGCTCAACAAGGTCACTCTCCCAGATCACCCCACCTTGTGTGCATTGCAATCAGAGACCACTCCTTGGCCTGCCCCTTGTCTGTAGGCTCAGTCCACTTGTTTTCAGCAGACATGCCAGCCATGTGGCTGCTATGGGTATTCATACTTAAACATTTTCTTCTGTAACAAATTGTGTTGAGAGAATTTCAAATATCAGTAGAAAAGTTCCAGTCTGCAAACAAGAACTTCTAAAGGCCCTGCAAACATCTCCCACTAGGAAGACATTGGTATGCTTCATCCCTGAGCAGGGTCAGCACCTAACTGAGGTTCTCAGATAGAACTCCAGCTCAAGAGTGCCCCATGTCCTGAAAGTTCCTGGTCTCTCACCTCGGGCTTTTTGCACTCAGGGTCCCAGTGAGGCCTTGAACTTGTCTTTGCCACAGACCAGTGGTTGTGTGGCTTTGTCTCAGAAACACCCAGTGCCAGGGCTGGGCAGTCATGGGGAGGGTGGCAAGTGCACAGACACTGTCTCAGGAGGGAGATGTGTGTGCTAGGCCAAAGCAATGCCTTACAGCCCACCTGGGATTTCTTCCTAACATTTGTGTTTCACCTTAGCTTGTCTCTCCATTCTTCAGGTACCTGTAACTAGGTTCCCCCTTCAACTGACCAGAAAAGTGATGGCCACATCATATATATTATTATCTATATGACAGGCACTGAAGGCATATATCCTATGAATCGATGTGCTTGGTGTATGTTCAGGAAAGCATGTGCATGTATGAAATGCATGTGTTCTTGTGCTAGTGTTGTTCATTCCAGCTGTGAGTGGTCCCCTGTCCTTGTCTCTCATTACAATGCCCTCCAGGTTAGATGATCCTGCTCCATCCCCCCAAACCTTCAACAGATACACAGTGTGGTTTCTGTGCCTTAAAAGCTTAAGAGCTGTGTGTTTTATTAGTCCAACTTTGTTGAATATTGTGATCATCTGAGCCATGTTTATTACTTTTGCCTAGTGATAAATTATCAGTGAATATGTATAAAATCAACCCGAATGAAAACATTTTAGTGTCTGTGCAGATTTCATCTGCTAATTTGGACATGACTGTCCAGGGCCCCTTTCCTTACTTGTAGTCCCTCTGCTGCAGGCCTGACTGCCAGAGAGAGAGCATGAATACCAATCCTGACAGCTGTGGTTCTATTTCAGAACTGAGTTTTGTTGCTGCCCCTGAGAGGAAGACCCATTCCCTGCTGGAGGGAGGTCCTCACAAAGATCCCATCACCAGCAAGTGTGAGAGTCATAGCATCAGCCCCAGCGATGTCCCAAGTACCCCAAAAGAAAATGTTATCAAAGGAAAATGGAAGCCCAGGAAATGCGAACTGGCCTGCAGGTTCCCTGGCCTGGAGATGAAGGGCAAACCACAGCCCACAGAGAGGAAAATCATGTGTCAATTCCCTGGCCAGGAGATGAAGGGAAAACCACAGGCCAACATGTGGGCACTGACCTTCAGATTCCTGGGCCTTAACACCTAGACAGAGGTAATCCTGTGTGTGTGTCTGAGATGTACTTATTCCTTCTTACACTGCGCACAGATTATAGCTCATTTCTGTTTGTTCAGATAGGGTATAACTGTAACCTCTCTGTTTGGATCAATAATTTGAAATAGAAAATCCTTCTCATGTAGAAACCTGACCCACAAAATAGATACCTCCCCTCATAATCAAGTTGAAATGTTTAAAGTTGAACTTCTCTCCCTAAAACATGCTGTTCACCATCCACTCACTTGATTGCAAGTCCTCTGTTGGGTTGAGAAATATACATTGAACAATCACATTTTATCTGATTCTATTCCTAGGCCAATTTCCAATGCAGATTCTTAGGTCTCATTCTCCCATGTTTGTCCTTCCCTCTGACCGGTATACAAACAGGATATTCTCAAAAAGAAAATTTCTTAGGGGAACTGAAAAAGAAATGGGGAAACTCTAGGATGACTAAAGAGTGCCTGTTTTAAAGTTAATGTTCCCTTCAGAGTTGAGTGAGTGAGCTATTAGGCACACAGCAGAATGGTCCTAGGTGTAACTAGATGTGGAATAATCTTCAGAGAAACTTGGTGTCTGTTCTATTGACATGAGTTGTGCTGTGGTTACACTCCCAGCTCTCTTTGCTTACCTGCAGAAAACTAATCCATTTCTAATGCACCAGAGAGCAGGAGGAAGTGGGGAGACATCACTCACTCCTGGTTAGGAGAGGCCAAGGGCCCTGGTTCCCCAGCACTGCAGAGCTGGGCTGGAGTTCAGGGCAGGACTCTGCTCATTTGGCTGCCACTTCCCTCTCAGCAGCCCAGGGCTCCCCTTCAGCCAGTCTCCCCACTGGAATTGAGTTTGCCTGGCCTCTGCCCCACGGTGGCCCAGATGCAGGCTCAGCTCTCACCTGGACCTGACCCAGCTCTCCTTTGATTTTCCTTCTCTCCCTCTTTCAGATCCCAAGTACAGTTGGAAGGACAGAACAGTATTGCTGATTGTAACATCCCCACCTCTTCCAAACATCTAACACAGGAGCTCCGCTTCAACAGCAACCAGAACACCAAGAACGCAATTTCAACACCATGACCTGCCCTCGGCTGTTTTTATCCACTAGGCTGCTTCCCTGAGAGCTGGAACAGTCTTCCACCTCCAATCCGAGTAAACACCTAAGGAGACCCAGGCCTGACTCCACAGCTGCTCTGGAGAGAACACCACCTGGCTCCTCTCCAACTGCCTCCTGTAGAGATCTGAGGTCAGGAGGAGCTGGAAGCAAACAGCATAGGACCCTGGGCACACACTGCCTTTGGATGGGGCGAGCTCGGTGTGGGCAGTGTCAGAGACACAGCACCCTGCGCACAAGGCTGCATGTGAGCAGAGGAGAGGATCCGACTCTGCAGGACGTGGACCCTGACCCAGACAGCTGGCCCTCTCCTTCACACAGCCAGCGTTCTGCATAGAGGACAGCAGGAGGAGGAGACTTTGGGGCTCAAAAGGACAGGAAGGGTCTCTTTCCTCCTTTTGAACCCCAACCATCTCCCCCTTCTGCTGTCTTCTATGATGGGAACGCTGACTGTGTGAAGGCGCAGGCCAGGTGTCTGGCTCGGGGTCTGCATCCTGAGGATCTCTGATGCTTTCCTCAATTTTACACTCAGCCTCACTCTTTGGCCGAGCACCCGATGCAGGGAGTGCCGTGTGCTCCCTCCCACATCCCCACAGGAGGCAGAGAACATCTTGTGTGCCCATCAGGTCCCCTGACCCTGGCATCGGTCAGTGGGTGAAAGCTGTCTGTTGAGCTGTACATCCTAAAGATGCGCTCCTTCCTCTGTATCCTAACAACTGTGGAGAGGGTGACCCCTCAGAGCCTGAGCAAAAAGGGAGTGAGCAGCAGCCCTGGCGGAGGTCCAGTCATCAACCCAGGAGGTGGCCATGGATGGGCGTGATAACAGCAAGTTCATGGTGATGAATGCAGCAGTGTGGCCGGGAGGGCCCAGGTGGGCGAGGTGGACTGAGCCTGCATCAAGGAACCAGACACCTCTCTGAACACTCCTCTCTCTACGTCCAGAGTCAGGCAGAGCAGATGCGGGCAGGACCTCGTCATGAGGACGCTCATCTCTTACAGCTGCTGGTCTTGCCAACTCCACTCAGTGTTGCAGGAGAACTGGGGGCTCCTGATGCAGGACGTGGGCCAAGGCATCCAGAGCCCCAGCAAACAGCGAGGCTGTGTTCCTGCCAGCCTGAGGCAGCTGCTGGACAAGGAGGGGCCATATGCCTGCCCCCCCATCATGGAAAACTGAGTCCTCACAGATTCTGGATGCCCACTGCTTAGTAGGTGCTCCTGGTCCAAGAACAAACCGAGCCAATGGCACCGCTGCCCTGTGGTGGACCTGTTTCTCACAGCTACCATTCTTACTTCCACTGTCTGTCATACCTGTGATGACACAATTGTTTTCCTTTCATGAAAATTGGGATCCTAGGGAGGGAATTATGTTTCCACCTGAGTGTGCCTCCTCTCAGTGTAACAGCTGCCTTAGACACCCTGTCAGCACATCTTGGGCTCCTAAAATCTACAACTTCTCATTAAGATATCACTGTCCAGGCCCCAAAGTGTCTCCAGCGTCCTGGAGTGTAACTGGAATCTCAAAAATTTTGATTCAGGTCCCAATACATGTTCCCTGTTTTAGTTAAGTGTTTTTAAAAAGAAAAATTCCAAAAAAAATTAAAACTTTAAAAAGTAAAAAAAAATTTAAAGTAAAAATAGAAAAGAAAAATGGTACTGCATTGTTTTTTTAAAAAGGAAAATTTTTAAAAAATTAAAAATTTAAAAATGTTAAAAAATTTAAAAAGAAAAAATTAGAAAAAAAATGTCATTTAAGTGTTTTTGAAAGTAAAATACTGAAAAAATTAAAACTAAAAATTTTAAAACTTTAAAAACAATTAAAAACAAAAAATAGAAGATTTTATTTATAGCCGGCGCCGTGGCTCAATAGGCTAATCCTCCACCTTGCGGCGCCGGCACACCGGGTTCTAGTCCCGGTCGGGGTGCCGGATTCTGTCCCGGTTGCCCCTCTTCCAGGCCAGCTCTCTGCTATGGCCAGGGAGTGCAGTGGAGGATGGCCCAGGTGCTTGGGCCCTGCACCCCATGGGAGACCAGGAAAAGCACCTGGATCCTGGCTCCTGCCATCGGATCAGCACGGTGCGCCGGCTGCAGCGGCGGCCATTGGAGGGTGAACCAACGGCAAAAGGAAGACCTTTCTCTCTCTGTCTCTCTCTCTCACTGTCCACTCTGCCTGTCAAAAATAAAAAATAAAAAATAAAAAAAGTAGGAAAATACTAATAGGAAAATTAAAATGCCACTTCATTTTAGTAACTTTTTAAATAGGAAAATGTTAGAAATATATATAAATTAATTTTTTTTTAAATTTAAACTCAGCAAATAAAAGTAAAATTCCATTTCAGTTCAGTGTTTTTGTAAATACAAAAATGCTAAAAAATTTTAAATTTAAAAATGATTATACTTTACAAATGACAAAAGAGAAAAACAATTATTCAGAACAAGTGTGAAATGTCATTCCTATTCACTGTTTCATTTAATGGAGAAAATGCCAAATAATTAAAATTTAACAACTTTGCAAAAATTTAAGACTTAAAAGCAATACTAAGGAAACAATGTACAATCCATTTCAGTTAGTTATCTTTCTAAATAAGAAAGTGCTAAAAAGAGATGGAAAAATTTCAGAACACAAAGAAATTACTAAGAAGAAAAAAAATAAATGCCACTTCAGTAAAATGCCACAATGCAACAAGAAAAAAATGTAAACATTTTGTTTGCTTTGTTTGACAACTCGAATTGGTTCTCAACAACTGACCAGTGATGATGACAAGTTATTCAGAACCTCCAGAACAAACCGCCTGGTAATTTATGCCAAGAGACAAATCAGCAGTCATCTAGGTTTTTCCTTGGATACCACTTTCACCAGCCCTTAGGTGAAAATCTCTGCAGAAATTCTACAAACTTGTTGCTGATTTTGACACCTGCTTTTACTTTTGTTCTGTAAAAATCATACACTTTGGATAATAAAACTTCAGAGTTGAAATAAAAAACTTTGGAGAGTGCTGCTTGGAAGATGTATAAATCTCCTGTTTGAAAATGGCCTTCCTTTAACAATTTTACCATGCATTAGCCATTCATGCCTGTGTCAGTTATTATATTCAAGTCTAATACTAGATTTCTAATAGAATTCTTCCTGAAGACTGGATCCTGGCATTCTGTAGTTCAAAAGCATTCTCACCCCAATGTGGAATGTTATTGCAAATATCCTGTTAGCCCATACCATTGAATTTTTTTCTCTATCACCTGGATTTTTTAATTTCAGTGTTATAATATATTACATCTCATATTGGGTGTGCCAATTTTTTACCCTTGTATCTCTCTCTCTCTCTCTCTCTCTCTCTCTATTTATATGTGAAGTAGACTGCTTTTCTCAAGCTATAGCAGAGAGCTGGATCAGAAGAGGAACAGGCGGGTCTTGAACCAGAGTCCACATGGGAAGCCCACTATACCACAGTGCCAGAACCAAGTTTACCAATTTTTTAAAGAGATTTATTTATTTATCTGCAAGGCAAACATAAGAGAGAGGGAGAGCTAGATAGAATGAAACACACACAGAGATGTTCCATCTGATTCACGTCTCAAATGCCTGCGGCAGCAACTAAACCAGGCTGAAGTAAGGAATCCAACAACTTGAGCCATCTGCTGCCTCCCATTACTACAGGAAATATGGCTTAGAAGCAGCTGGGTCTTGAACCAGGCACTCTGACATGGAAGCCGCTGTCATATTGATGGCTTTACCCATGGTCCCACAATGTCAGCACCTGCCTTCTTTAAAAAAAAAGTGTATTGAAAAGCAGCATTACAGTGAAGAGGCAGAGGATGAACAGTGGGAGAAAAGGGAGAGGGAGGTGGTGGTGCTGGGGTGGAGAGAGAGAGAGAGAGAGAAATACCTTCCATGTACTGGTTCACTCCCCAAATGCCTGCAAATTCAGGGAAAACCTCCTGGCTGCCTTGAATGTTTCCATTCCTGCACTTTGGACTCCAGGTCAGAATCAAAGTGTCTCTCCTGGAAGGCCAGCCATCTGCCAGCAGGTCTTGGGACTTCCTAGCCTACATGACCACATGACACAGTGCCTTATCCCATGATGCCCTTGGGACCCATGGGACCACAAGTGCAGATTCCATTCCCAGTGATTTTGAAAATTGAAAAAGAATGCATCTGTACTGTCCATATTCCATCTTTTCCTCTTGAATTGTTCTACACACAGTATACCATTTACATCATAGTCTCTTTAGGTATTATAAGATATCTAGGGACAACTGAAAACATATGGGAGAATATTTGGTCCAATGCAAATGCTACCACATTTATGTACAGGACTTTAGCAACGGTGACTTTAGTGCCTGCAAGTGATCCCAGAGCCCATCTGACACGGAGCTTCATGGACATCTGTCCATATTCCAAAAGTCCTTGCAGGGTCTCACCAGACACAGATTATCATCCTGAGACTTGAGGTGCAGGTCTAATGAATCCTGCAAGGACGGAAGCAGCTTTGCCCCTGGGGAACAGGTCCCCACTGGAGGCGTTTTCAGATGCACACTGAGCTATGGATGGGAATGGGGATTCTGGTGAGGTCTGCAGTGAATAGATGTGATTGAAGAGCAGGAACAAGGTGAACCTTGTTTGTAAGAGGCAGGGAACTTGGTTTCTGGCATGTTTTCTTAGAAGGTATAACTTGCCAGGAATGAAACTGGACATTAAATGGAGGTGAATTCTCAGCAAAGCGCTGATTCAGGGGCTTGCCTTCTGGCAGTGTTTCAAAAGAATTTATTTGAAAGGGAGAGATACAGACATACTGGGAGAGAGATTGTCAGCTGCTGGGTCAATCCCCAATAGCTAGGGCAGGGTCAGGCCAAAGCCAGGAGCCAGGAGCCAGGAGCTCCTTCCAGATGTGTGTGGGGGCCCAAGCAAGTGGGCCAACTTCCGCTTAATTTCCAGGCACCTTAGCATGGAGTTGGATAAGAAGTGGAGCAGCTTGGACTTGAACTGGTGCCCATACGTGGTGCCGACACTGCAGGTGGGAACTTAGGCTTCTACATCACAGCACTGGCCAATGGCCATCTGACTCTTTATAGTCAAAAAAGAGAATTTAATTTCTGGGAATTCTGAACAAAAAGAAACTAGAATTTGAAGATTTGGAAAGTTGGGTCTACCCATATTGAAACAATTGAAATGTGTTCTGGAAGAGAACACCAGGGTGTGGCTAGACTGTGCCTTGAAAAAGATGCATGTATGACATGGACAGAATCTGCAGGTTTAACCAAGGGTGAGCGGATGGTGTTGAAATGAAAGCAGGCTGGCGGCCTTCCTGGATGGAAAGGACGGAGTAATGCAGTGCGTCAGTTGACAACATGCAGTTTTTGTCAAGAAGAATGAAGGTGACCCTGAAGGGGATTCCAAGATAATCAGGGCTCCTGCATCTGTTACCCAGGCTGACAGGCAAGACAGAAGCCATGGGACACTGCACTGACCAGCAGTAGAGGCTCCGGAAATGTTTGGGATAATGCTGCCACCCTCCTGGGCCCAGGTGGCAGAATTTGAACCAAAGAGAATTATCGTGGAGAGGCAGAGACAGAAGGCCTTCCATTCACTGGTTCACTTCCCAATTGGAAACCATGGCTGGAGCTGGGCCAATCTGAAGCCATAAACCAGTAGTTTTCTCTGTGTCTCCCACATGAGTGCAGGAGCCCAAGTACTTGGACCATCTTCCACTGCTTTCCCAGGCCACAGCAGAGAGCTGGATCAGAGGAGGAGCAACCAGGACTCAAACAGGTGTCCATATAGGATGCCGGCATTGCAGGCAAATGCTTAGGCTAGTAAACCACTGCTCCATCACAGAAACTAGTTGTTTGAGAGGGAGAGACACAGAGAGTACTGCCACCCTCTGTTTCAGTCCTCGAATGTGTGCAACTGCCTGGCTGGACTGAGGCCAAAGTCAGGAGCAGGGAATTCAATCCAGGTCTCCCTGTGTGGGTGGCAGGAACCCAAGTACTTGATATTCTGGGGACGGGTGGTTCACAGACATGTGTGGGGGAAGTGTGGGCACCTTTGGGGTTGTATTTCTACTTGTCTGCAGAAGGCCTCCTGCAAAGTTGGCCACCTCAGGCTGTTTTGTCCAACCAATGACATGCTGTTGCCAAACCCCTTCCCATGTGTGATGAATGTCCTACGTTCTGAACACTGAGGGCCCCACACCTGCTTTCTCAGTTTCCCTGGCTCTACCACATAGGAAGATCTCCATGGACTGGCCATTCTGAAACAGTGACACCAGCTCTTGATGTGAAAGGAGAGACCCAAGGAGCAGGCACTCGAAAATTCATGCTGGCTCCTGTAACATAATTACAGCCCATCTCAAGATCCTCACAGTATCCAGGGACAGCAGAACCCTGTCCACGGGCAGTGTGTAGTTCCAAGGGCCAGTGGTATCACCTGTGCAGCCCAGGGTCTGTCACTCAGGGTGGGCTCAAGTATCCTCCAATTGGGGGCTGCAGTGCCTGCTGGTCTGTCTGAGTGCACTCGTGTCTTCTTCCTGTCTCCAGTTCCTGGTGCACTGGGTCCCTGAAGATCCTCTGGACAATGACTGTCGCCTTCACACAGTGGATTTCAGACAAGCTTAGCCAGACTCCAATTCTGTTCCCTGCCTAGCAAGAAACAGAGAGGGAAGAGGCCAGCGGTTCTCTCTGAGGCAGCTGTGTGCTGAGGGCTCTTCCCCGGCCTCCAGGACTCTCCTGATGAGCATGCCCCTCCCTCCCCCTCTGCACTCCAGGACAACCACAGAGACACAGGGACTCCATGCCTGCTGTGAGCTGGGTTTCCTCTCCCCCATCCCTCTCCAGGCCCCAGGTCTAACCCAGTCCTGGAGGCCACAGGAAAACAACAGGAAACGCACACTATGTTGCATTTTCAAAGCACCCGGCCCTAGCAACCTCCATGAAACTCAGGGAAGCTGAGCTTCCCTGTGGGGCACTTGGGGTCACTCCTCCAACTTCTGAGAGGGCTCTCCGGACAGCAGCAGATGAGATGAGCAGGCAGAGGTGGCTCCCAAAGGGCGGGTTTGCACCCTGGACCTCACAGGGAGGTCTCTGCACCCTGCACATCGGGTCCCCAAGAAATGCCCTGAGAACATGTAGCAGGCTCTTTTTTTAGAGAGCTTTGATTCTTTTTTTAATTTTATTTATTTATTATGATTTTTTGACAGGCAGAGTGG